TATATATATATATATATATATATATATATATATATATATCACAAATTAAAGTGTGCTCTGCTGCCATTTAAAAACCTAAAACCTTAGACAAAAAACACTTCCAGTAAACTTTGCACATGAAAGGTGGCCATCTACTCAGAGTGTAAATCTTTACCTGAGAGCAGCTAGCTATCAAGAGAAAGCCTTGACACATTATGGTGGAAAGTGAAGATGACTTGTTAATGTAAAAGAAACTGGAATGTCAAAAAGTTAGAAATATATCCACATAAAGCTATTGTAGTCAACTGAATCACTCTGAGCTTGCCACAATGGAAACTAGCCAAACCCAAATTTAAAGTTTCTGGCTTAAATTCACTGGGATATGCCAAAATATCTAGTAGGAAGAAAAGATAGACAGACAACTCTTTTAGTGCAGAAACAGGACAATCAAAGTCTGGAAATTCAATCAGGAGAGAATAATGCTAACTATCTCTAAACTCAATGAGACTCAGTTTGAACTTAGGAAGACCAGAGAATGTATTGTTGCCATCAGACAGTTCAACCAAGATCTTAATATGGTCTTCACTGACCAGAAAAAAGGCACTTTACCAAATCAACACAGAGAGACAGTGCCAGCTACCAAAAGGATTTGAGGCTTAGGCTCAAAGAAGCAGCTAGTACTCAAAATAATTCAAAGAAAATTGCAATGTAATAGATTATAATTCACATAAGGTAGAATCAGGGCACAGTCACTGTGGGCCAGTGATGACCACAGCATCAAGAGTCAACTTCTAGACAACATTAGAGCAACTGTACTGTAAAAAACTACAGGAGACTAACAGAATAGTTTCAAGTCACATATGCATCAAGGTTCTGAAGGTAAATTCCTATATATTACTACACTGCAGGCTTTTTTATATAGTTTATTCCGTGAAGAACTTTTTTTCACATTTAACGAAGCTACAGGGTATTTCAGTGCATAATGAACAGGAGAAATTGATTAAATAATATCTAGCTGTTTTTTCTGCTCACCAGGAAAGTTCAATTAAACCTACTTGTAAGTAATATATAACACAGAATTACAACAAAGGATCTTTTGGTCCTTCCAGACCATCCCATCCACTAAATTAAACATTAAAAAAAGCCAGCCCTTATATTTTAAATATTTGTCAAGCTTTCCCTTAAGACTTGCATCTACCACATCTGAAGGTAAAGAGTTCCAAAAGGCGGCCATCTTGTTTGAAAAATAAAGCTGTCTTTAACTTAAGATGATTTCTACTCTACCAAGATTTATATTTTTATTCCTTAGTCTAACCATTTTCACCACTAAAAATTAAACATCAACACTATCAATTCCCTTTTTAAACACTTCAGTCAGTCTCCTCTAAATCTTCTTCTTTTTCCAGATAAAACAAGTTCAGAGATCTTAACCTATCCTCATATGACAACCTTTTCATCTTACTTATCATCCTTGATTCTCTGAATCATTTCCAACAATTTCTAAGGTAAAGAGCTCAAGACTGAACACAATATCCCAAATGTGGCCAAAAATAATAGCATTATAACATCTTTAGACTTGTATTCAGTATTTCTTTAGATACACTCTACAACCTAAAATCTTATTTGCCATGTCACTACCAATAACACATTGCTTGTATGGCTTAAGAAACTGATAAACCAGAAAACCATGATCTTTTTCCTTCATAACATTGTTGAAGTTATTCCTATAAATATTATACTCATAATTCAACGTGTGATATCCCACACGTATCACCTTGCATTTATTATGATTAAGAGACGTCTGACATTTACTATCCCAAATCATTTTGTATAGCAACAGCAACTTCCTCACAGCCAGAAACACCCAAAACTTTGATGTCATCATCAAATTTAAATAACCTATTGACCATTCCTTCATCTTTGTCATTGAAGTAAATCAAAAAGAGCAAAGGTCCAAACACTAAGCCCTGAGGTACCCCACTTGTGACATTAATCCAGTTTGACTTTCTTCCACCTAGCCAGTTTTACTGTCCATTGAGTCAACCTATCCCCCACACCTAAAGGTATAACTTTTTTAACAAACCTTTTATGTGCCACCTTGTTAAAGGCTTTCCAAAAAATTTGATACCCCAAATCTACACCATACTGTTATCTACATAAGCAGTAACCTCTTCAAAGGATGTCAAGATATTAGTAAGGCAAGATGTTCTTCTAGTGAAACCATGTTAACTTAAAAAAAATGTTAAAACTTTGTTAAGTGACTTTGCAAAGCATCTTTTATTAGGTTTTCCAAAACTTTTCCCACCACTGATGAAGGACTGATAGGCCTATACTTACTGGTAAGATTTTTATATCAATCTTTAATCTCTTTCAAAACCCTTGGGTAAATACTATCTGACCCAGGAGCTTTATCATTCTTTAAACTTCTCAGAATTAATGTGATCATCTTGTTTAGTCTTGCTTCCATTTAGTAACCATTCAGGATGAGGAGTAATGTTTCAGTTTTCATTAGTAAAAATTGAAGAAAAAATATAATCTAATAACTTAGC